ACGACAGAATTTATATATCTCAAAATGATACAAATGTTCGAAGGCTGAAGCCTATACAAGCAACAACACAAATCTGAAGAAGCCACAACTTCCTGACTACCAACCAAAGAAAGGGGAATTCTCACGCCAAAGGCAACTGGTAAGATCCAGTGAGCCTTACCCTATCTCCCACTAACCTAACTCATAATCAATTCGAAGTAGCTCACCAAAAATAGCAAGCCAGTACCCCCAACAGGTTACAGGACCTAGCGAACTATCAAAACCTAATCAACCATAAAAACAACTATACAACATAAACAATCAAACTGCACCTATCAAAAACCACTATAAGAAATCTACCAAACAACGGTACAAGAACCAGAACAATTCAGAACAAAATAAGAGAAAACTACCTAAACAAGACCAGTACGAGGAGCTAAGCCTCAAAGCAAAATTCCTGCCAGTCCGCTAGAGCCAACTTGATAATGTTCACATCTGATCTGAGTACCTGCTGAAAAACTCGAAGGTTCCTCGTCTTCCACATCCACCAGAGTATATAGTAGGTGAGTTGAACTCACTCTTTCTTCAGTGATTGAATCCTTATGAATGCTGCAGAGTATGATCCACCAATGTTTGAATGAAGCAGTATAAGACTGTAATCCCTCCCAAGAAATCGGTGCTAACTTCCAAATCAACTTTGCCCTGCTACAGTGGAAGAATAAATGCTCCTGGTTTTCCTCACTTTCCCCACAAAACTTAAATATTTGGTCAAGGATCATCCTTCTGTGTTGAAGATTCACCATGACTGGGAGAATATTGCTGAGCCCTTTCCAAAGAAAATGCCTCAGTTTTCTTTTAATTTTCAAACTCCATGTTCTTTTTCTTGCAGCCTTCAACTCCTTGTGGTTCTTACTCGGTCCTGCAATGTCCAGCTTCCTCCATCCTGCCTCAATCAGCTTCTTGTATGTAGATGCTACTGTGAATGTCCTCTTTGAGTTCCAAGTCCAAGTAAGTGTGTCTGGTTTGGTAGGATCAAGATGTTTGATGTCTAAGATTGTTGTTGCTTCTTCAGGAAGAAATACCTGCTCAACTAATTCTTTCTTCCATCTTCTGCCTGAGTCATCTATTAAGTCCTTAACCCAAGTCAGTTCCTGGTTCCTAGGGTATTTGCCTATAAGAGCCTTTCCATTAAGTTTTGGGACCCAAGGTTGTTCCCACAGTTTGATTGAGCTGCCATCCCCAATTTTCCAAGACATTCCTCTGAAGAAATCCTCTTTCCACCAACTTGTCCACAGCCATGAGCTGTTCTGCTTCTTTTTAGCTGTGTATAGACAATCATTGGGGAAGTATCTGCCCTTTAATATTTTACTAACTAGCAATTTTGGCTGAGATTGAATTCTCCACAACTGTTTCAAAATTAAGGCTTTGTTGAAAATGTGTAAGTCATGGAAACCAACTCCACCCAACTGAAGTGGTAGTGCAGTCAATTTCCAAGCTTTCCAATGGATGCCTTTGGAGCCTTCCTTGCCAGTGCTCCACCAGAAATTTTCCATATGAGAGGATAGCTTTTTGGTCACTGATAGAGGCAGTAAAAAACAAGACATAGAATAAATTGGTAATGCTCCAATGACAGCTTTCAGTAGCACCTCTTTACCTGCAAGGGAAAGATATATGTTTTTTCAATTTAAAATTCTTTTACTCGCAGCCTCTTCCACATATGTGAAGGTGTTATTTTTGGAAATGCCAATACCAAGTGGTAAGCCTAGGTACTTTGAGGATGAATGAGGGGTAATGCCCATAAAGATAGCACAAATTTGATCTTTGATGGCTTGTGGGGTGTTTTTACGGAAACAAATGGAGGACTTTTGCAGGTTAACCTTTTGCCCTGTCAAGGATTGGTAAGAGTGCAAGATTTGCAAGAGATTGTTGGCTTGCTGGGCATCTGCTTGAGCAAATAACAGTGTATCATCGAAAAAGAAGATGGGTTAAGGTATGACAATGTTTATTCAATTTAATTCCATGAAGATTACCCCTTTCTACCTCAGTTTTTATCAGGTGATAGAATATTTCAGAGATAAAGATAAACAAGTAGGGTGAAAGTGGATCACCCTGCCTTATTCCTCTTGATGGCTTCAAGAACCCTGTAGTTTCACTATTAACATTAAATGAAAAGGAGGTAGAAATAATACACTACATAATCCACTTCACAAACAAAGAGTTAAATCCCAATTTTAGCATAATAAGTCTCACATTGTCCTATTCTACCTGTCAAATGCTTTACACATGTCTAATTTAATGGCCATAAAACATTTTCTACCTGATCTGTGACTCTTGAGAAAGTGAATAATCTCATTAGCAATTATGACATAGTCTAAAATTTGCCTAGCCTTCACAAAGGCAGATTGGTTCACACTGATACAACTAGGAAGACAAGGTTTGAGCTTATTTGCAAGTATTTTGGATATCACTTTATACACCACATTGCATAAGCTAATAGGTCTTTAATGAGGCACTTTTGAAGGGTTAGGGCATTTGGGAATCAGAGTTATCAATGAGTGGTTAAGACTCTTCAAAATTTGGCCAGAAGCAAAAAACTAAAAACAGACTCACAAAGATCATGTTGAATAATGGACCAAAAGGTGTGGAAAAAAAGAGCATTCATACCATCAGGCCCAGGGCCCTTGGAGGGATTGATACTGAAAAGGGCATCTTTGATCTATTCTGTACTCACTTGTGCAATCATTCAAGGTTTCTCTCTGCAGTGATGACCTCCTCTATTCCTTGTAATAGTCTGTCTCCAGTGATTCTGCCTGATGAGGTGAATAAGAGAGAGAAGAACTCTTCAATGCAATTGGCTATCTCTTCTTTGCTTTCACAGATAACATCTTCCTCAATCAACCTCATAATCTTATTTTTCCTTCTCTTATGCATAGTTTGAGCATGAAAGAACTTGGAGTTATTGCCCCCATATTTGAGCCAGATAATCTTAGATTTTTGCTCCCAAAATTGCTCCTCTACCTTATAGGCATCATTCACCTCTTTGGACAACTGATCCTAAGCCTTACAATCTCTCAACCCACCATGTTCTCTCAGATGCTCCAGTTGTCTAGCCAACACTTCAATCTTTTTAGCATTTTCAGATGTAAAAGAGGAATTCCATTTCAGCAATTCAACTCTGGTAGCTGCAATTGTTGATTTAAGTCAGTACATTGGGGTACCCTGCTGATTCTTTTCCCATGCTTTAGCCACAACTTCTTGTATTCCTTGCCTTTGGAGCTACCTCTTGTCAAACTAAAATCTTCTCCTTTTGTGATGTGCTTCAGGTTGGCTGATAAACAATAATAAGCTGTGATCCGAGGCACTCTTGAAAATGTTGTTTACTCGAGCAGCAGGATATTTGGAGTGCCACTCATAAGATCCAAATCATCTGTCCAATTTCTCCTCAATGAACCCTTTTGAAGACCTGTTATCGCCCCAAGTAAAGTGGTACCGTTGCCACCCCACTTCCATCATCCCCATAGATTGAATGAAGGTGTTGAAAGCCTTGCATGATTGAATTGTTCTTAATCTACCTCCCTTTTTGTCTTTTGGTTGGGTTATATCATTGAAATCAACTGCTATAAACTAGTACTTTCTGCAGGTGCCTCTGACTGAAGTGAGATAGTCCCATTGCTCTTTTCTTTCCTGCACATCAGGACTTGCATACACAAATATCCCCCAACAGACATCACAAAACTCCACTTCAAAACAGAAAGACTTCTTGATAATCCTAAAAATATGTACATTGGTCCCAACATAGAAAAAGACCTCCACTCTTGCCCACAGGCTCCACAGAAGTCCGATTATCCTTGACACCTAAGTTCCTACTAACTGTGCTAAGAAAGGTATTTTTCTTTTTTGTTTCAGATAAAAACAGAAAATTGGGGTGATGGAATCTTCATGCCTCTTTGATCTGGGGAACTTTAGAGGGGCCACCCACTCCTCTACAGTTTCACACTGTAGCCTTCATTGAGGGTGTCCGGGCCAATTAGGGTTGGCCTCCATCAACTCCTCTATAACTGCTTTCAATCGCTTCTGTTGATTACTTTCATTTTCTAGCTCTTGAGTTTCCTCTGTCTTGCTATGACTGATCTCTTCTTTTTGCCTTTTCCCTCTTAATGATCTCAAAGTGGGGGTGGACCTTATCTGAGTTTCTGTCTGTGGTCTTCTTTTCCAACCTTTGGTTTTCCTAACTTTGCTTAAATCCACTGCGTGGGCAGATGAAGAGTCCATCATGACAATAGAGGTATCCTGTTGTTGAATATTCTCTTGAGGTTGCTGAGATCCAAGGTCAATTGATATAGGCTCTGAGGTAGAGGGTTTAGTTTTGGATGGAAGGGATTTGGGTAAGGGTGCTTAGGATAGAGTAGAGTATTTAACTGGGTAGGTATTGTTGGTTTTTTATTCTTTTGTTCTGAGGGTACTGAGGGTATAATGGAGAAAGGTGAGTCTATCTTGTCATGAGGAATAGAATTACTTTGTTTACTAAGGTTAGGTGAGTTATCCTGGGTGTTGTGTGTGTTGAAGGTAGAGGGTGGGGGGGATGATGGGTAAAAGAGATCAGCATCTTGGAGCCATTCTCCAAAGAGACCTTCCATAAGTTTGCCAGCAATTATATTAGCTCCCCGTTTTTCACAAGTTCTTGCTCCCCCAATTGTATGTTTGTGCACCTGAGAATGGG